TTGTGAATTTTTGGAGTACAGAGAACGTATTATTTCGGCTTATTCACCATGAACGAATACAAAAACAATCGAGACTGCACTGGCATATCAAACCTGTTAGAGCGTCAATCGAACCAATGTTAGGATAAAACGTCACAGACAATTCTATGCAAACTCTGTGTTACTGTAACAGCAAATATAAATGCAATAGTTAGTGTAACAGTGAATTAGAAAGTCTAAGCTGAGGTTCTCAGCGATGGAAAGAATTGCATTGCATTAATTGAATTGCATTGCAAGAAAGCATCGCATTAAATTTAAAGTGTCTCAATGGATCAATGATTCTCCATTACTACGTCGTTTAATGTTATTTTTAGCATATTCCTTTTCTCAGTTCATGAGGAAGGATAGGAGCCATCCTCCATATTAGAAAGTGGAAGTGTGAAAGTGTTCCATTATTATGAAGAAAGTTCGGCAAAAATGCTTTCCCCATGCCCTCTACTTTCTAAACGACGAAAAAGATAAGTCTTTATAAAAAAGTCCCGAGTCTTTCGAAAAACGACTTTCGCGCTCTAAACACTTCGAAGAACGGGATATCGTTTAATGGATGTGTTATGTGAATGGATAGATACCACTTCGACGATCAAGACACGTTGATGCTTCACAATGACACTGAAAGCAACTTGATTACATTAACGTGATGATCACTATGACAGGAAGCTAACAGTTGGCATTATGTACCATTGTAATTTGTTTAGTTAAGACCTCAGAATGAATTTTCAGGGATAACATTATTCCGCCAAATGAAATCCAGCAAATGCTCCATGTCTGATATTATGTCTGGTCAATCTGAACATGTGGAAAAAGATCCGCCTTCGTCCAAAGTTCATGTCATCTGCTAGACGATACTCCAATGTAGATTGGATCATAGTTCGTTTTAATCATAGTCCAGTTGGTATTAAACAGTTGCCACGGCAACGAAGAAGGAACGAGAAGATAACGGCGCTCGTGTGACAAAACTGTTGTGCACGTTTCCAGTTTCCTGCACTGGCACACGAGAGGTGCCCCGTAGCACGCACGAACAATATTGTTTATGGAACATTTAGAACACCTGGCCTTCACTACGGATGACGAAGATACCTATCCAACCTTTTTCAAAAGGTATGTTGATGACATATTTGTTTTCTGTAAAAATGGGACTGAAGCGCCCTTTTAAAACACTAAACAGCCTATTCCCAATCCTCATCGTTTTCATTATGCAGAAAGAAGAAAACGGCATCCTTCCCTTCTTGGATGTGCAAGCAAGACTCCGCCAGCAGGGATATTTGGCCACGGTGTTTCGCAAGGAGACCCATACTAATAAGCATCTACTTCACTCTTCTTATCATCCAGATAGCGTAAAGAAAGGCGTGGTCAATACATTTCTCCAGAGAGGCCGGAAGATATGCACAAGAGATTATGAATTTTGCCACGAACCAAATCACATCAGATCGACCATAAAGGAGAACGGCTATTCCATGAAGAATTTAAACGAAGGCTTGGCAAGTTTATCAGAACAAAGGGCGTTTCCCCGCCTACCTGATATCAAAACCTACATCTTCTTGCCATACGTTCGCCAAATGAATGACAAACTGCGACGAGTTGGATCTGCAACCTGACTCAACCTGGTATTCAAACCTAGTGCAACTCTACGTAGCCGACTAAGCCAACTCAATACCCAGAAACTTAAGGAGCAGAAAACCGGTTGGGTGTAACAACTCGCGTCAAAGATGGAACATGGAAAAGACTCCCCGGATAAAGACGGACCGAGCTTGGTGCGAAACGCCAGATGTCCATAATTAAAGAACATTTTATACATTACCTTCCCGTTTGTGACTTACCGAAAGATTATATCTCCCGCACAAAGAAATCATGTACTTTTTATTTTTCTTAAATAAATCAAAATATATGTTAGTAAATGTGCACTGTAACAACTGAACAATGTATGAGTCAATCCAAATTTTAAAGCATAGTTTCTTGATATGCTCGTCATAAATTCAATATCTCTTAACCTGAGTAGAAGAGCAAACAGTGACCAGAATAAGGAATCACATGATACTACTAAATGACGCAGAGGGTATATTTCTCAGCTGTGAAGGCCGGTCGTAAGCCCTGAAACAACCGACCAACGAAAAGAGAGTATTTAGTGGTTAAGAGACACGCTGAAGGTTAATTTCTCATAGGGAAGGACAAATAGAGAAAAATCAGACAAGGCATTTAAAAATACTTGATGGGTCACATCAACAAAGTGAGAGAAAAAAATTGCATTGCTTAGAGTGTCAGGATGTGGCAAATGGAAAATTGTCAATTTGCAAAACGGAGGAACAGCGTATTTATTAACACAGTGCATGCGATTTCTCGGATGTTGGATCGATACGAACACATAAGGACATGTCTAACGAATCATCTTCCACGTAAAGTTGTAGATGAAGGTCATCGTTTTTGGTAGGAGGTTTATTTGGAGCATTAAGGCCCAAATATTCATTGAACTTATGTATTAACAAACTGTTTTGATGTCATATTTCAGCATGATTACCAAAGCAGAAGCAAATATTTTACTTGCATGGCAATGTCACAATCCCTCTAATGAGTAGATGATGTTTCTCATTAAAACAAATCCCTTGTTTCTGTTGTTTGTTGTTGTTCGTCATTACCATTTGTGTGGCCAGCTTAATAGCTCTACTTGCCCTAGATTAGTCATGCCAGATATGCACGAGGGATTCTGAAAGAAACGCTCCTCGTCAGCAGTAGATTAGGTTTGTTTCAGGCATTGTCAGCTTTAACGTTTAGTCAAACCAAAAGGTGCGTCTCCTATATTTTTCAGAAAGCTTCTTCAATCCAGTGGTTTCCAGAATATGATCATTCGTTATTCAATGCTGCCAGGGACTCTTCTGAATGTTTTGCAGGAGACGTTATTTGAAGCAGTTCTGTTGATCGTCATAACACTTAAAAATCAAAGTGGTTTCAGGGCCGTAAAACAGAGCAATTGTACACTTCCATTATCATCATAACTTGGAAACTTTTCCACATATCACGCAGCTTCGTAAAGTTCGCAACTGGTCTCATGCATCAAGTATCAAATCAACTACAGATCCCGTCGATGGTGTTGACTGGACGCAAATATCCGAAACGACGATCAGTTTCGCTACAGTCGTACCATTCTATTTTATCTGTTTACTGCCAATGACGCTGGTCACTGCCGGTACCCTCGTTGTCCTTGTTTTTGTAAGGCTAACTAGCAGCTCCACTTCCTCTACATTACTACATTGAAAACAATTAATTTCTCATATCGTTGCTTATCATGGTCATTCTAGCCGCTTTGCAAAATAAGCAACTTAAGATTCATGATGTCTGCTGACTTTGACGTTTTGTATTCCTGTATTAGGTGACTGCTTCCTCACAAAGGAAACACTCCTCACTGCCAACAGATCTTCATTTCGTTTCCTCTGTGATGCGCTAGTCATCGATTTTTCGTTGGTCACGTTTCAGCTCGCTTTGAAGCAACTGGCAAAACAACCTCGTTCTTTATTATACATCTTAATTTTCCATGTACACGTTCACCTGAAAACCTCATTACTTCCCATTTTAAGCATTCCATAATCTTGCATAGATAGTACACATCCTCATAACCTGCATCGTAATATTGCCCATTAATTTACATGAATTATTTCATTTAAAAGTATTTGACTTGTCTGAACAATTGAAATTGAGATAATTCGGCTTAAAAGCAAATTCAACTGCACTTACTCTGTGAGGACAAATTCTCGATTGCCCCAGCCGCCCAGATAAGATGCGCGTCTTCGGCAATGGCTTCTGCGAGAGTCGTCATCTCTTTAGACAATGTGATGTTCGACAGTTCGAGCGGTTGCGGATTGTAAACGGCCTTCACAGACGAAGAAGACGTCGAACGTTTAGGAGATGGTAAATCGCGCTGCTCCTCTGCGTTCGTCAGCTCAAAGTGATAACCCCAAGCTAACAGAGTTTTGATACATTCAGCGCATCTGTCTCGGTAAAACTTTTTCTCCTAAAGAAGAACATGCTTCATAAGAAATCTAGCGATGCCTCACTGTTAAGATAATTATAGCACAAAACAACTGGAAGACTAAAGAAACCTATTTCTAAGGAAAGCGTAATCCTGAATGTCAGGTAGAGTTGAAATATTGCAGCCTTCCAATTTCGCTGGATCTCACACCGGATTTACTCTGCGCAGGTGAACCGCCACTTGCTTCTAATCGTCTGTTTCGGCCGTTTATGCTGACAAAGGCTATATGGTATTTCAGCGTCTGCAGCGCATCGGAGGCAAGACTGCACCTCTGGATTTGGCATGCTCGACCATCACAAAATGGTAGAAACAAGGGTCATTGCGTTTCTCCGGATTAATCCGGCGTCAGCAATTGAAATGCAATATTTACTGGGGGTAGAAGGGAAATTTGAAAGTTGTTATTCGTGGGAACTACCGCAGAACATCAGAGTTATATTTTTTAAAAATATTTTTGCCTATGGATTATGGCAATTTTCTTCGA